AATCTTACATTTCAGAAAGATAAGGATCAACCTGCAAATGGTGATGTAGAGGATTCAAATCAAATTCTTAAAACACAAAATAATGATAACACCTCACATGAAAGTAGTTATGAAATTTCTGAAAAAGATGATTTGAAAGCAGTAGTTTTTAATTACTCTAATTCTCACCCGGAAGAAGTAAATTCAGTTAAAAAATTAACCACAAGTAATGCAAATATACTCCATTCTCAAACTGTAGATTTAAGTGAGTTTTTTAAGCCCTCCAATGATTCAGAGAAACCAACTATACAAACACCAAATAGATATTGCAAACATTCAGCCTGTACGAATAATGCGAATATGTCTTGTTCTGTTGATGACCTAAACAAAATCAACAATTTTCGAGAATGTAAATTAAGTTACCAGGATGAGACATTTTTATTCAATTCAGAAATGAGAAGTTCCAAAGACCACTCTTTAACCCATGAGTTAATTGATGAAAGTATTGTAACTAGAGAAATATGTAAGAGTGATAGTATTCAAGCTCCAAATCCGATTGATGAAAATGCAACCTCACAAATTAATGCTAGCCAGATGGACATATTGAATAGAAGCTTTGCTAACATATCTATTGGAGCATCTCATGTTTGTAACAGTCCAATTAAATCTGTGGAGAAGGTTATTAGTTCTAGCATTGAAACACATATATCAACTTTAGATCAATTTGTAGAAATTCTATATAGTTCTGAAAGTAATCAGAGCTATAACACTGATAAATTTCCAGCTATTCAAGTAGCTAATCAGCCAGACTCTTCCAACCATTTCCTATGTGAGGATATAGTGAGCAACATTGTATCTGATGCTGCTCAACCATATTTAGGTATTGTTACAGAGAATATAGTATCAGCTTTTAAGCTAGATGAATCTCATTCTACTTGCACTTCTCAATATAACAGTACTACAATTATTGAATCACAAAATTTAGAAAATGTTTTTATAGACAATGAAAGCAATGATATTCTTAAACATTATTCTGATAGCCTTGATTCACAACCTGTGGATAAAGTATCTTTTGAAAGTAAAATGCATCCGGCAATACTATCGAATATTTCTGATGAGGTTGATAGGACAGTAGTTATAAGCACACCATTTAAAAATAAAAATTCTGTGAGTCGAACTACATCTGCTAAAGCTACTAATTTGATTGAAAAGACTAAACATAACAGTAGTCCTAATGCAATGTATAATAATCTAAAAAATCCTATTTATGATACCATCACTTCTGCCATTTTACCTAATCCAACTTACGATGATAATATCATTTCTCCAATCCAATCACATTGGTATACTAGTGAAAATGCTAATTCTACCTTGATTGAAAGTGGTCATGGTCATACTCCTCAGTTTACCATTTTTCAGAATACTCAATCTGGTTTGGATAGTCTATCATCCAAACCTGAGCACCAATTTTTTAATGAAACTGTATTTTCAACAGAATGTGATGAAATTAAAGGATATATTTCTGAACAAAAACCACAATTCACAAGTGCTGAAAAGACCAAAGACTTAAATGAAAAAAAGACTCTTGTAAATCTTACAAAATTGGCTGAAATATCTTCAGATTATGAGATAGATGGTAATGAAACTTTAAATGACTTAATAAATTAATTGAAGTAAATGCGCCTATGTGAAATTCATAAAAAATTTCTGAACAGAGAATTGTGAAATAATTTTTTAATGTTTACCCCAAAAAATGCACTCCAAGCAGATGGATGCTATGACCTTAGCCATATCAATTTTGGTTGTTTCGATTTATTTTTCATTTCCAATATTTCTTAGTTTTAGAGACACAGAAGTACATCTCAAAGAAAAATTCAACAATATTTTGGATCAGGGTCTTCTCGATAATCGAAGAGCATTTCTCTTAAAGACAATTATAAACAATTATCAAATGATTCAGAGAGGAACTAATTTTATAAATTCGAAGACTGATATTTTTAAACTTTCAGATTCGAAATTAAAGCAAATTGTGGAAAATATACCCATTATTCATTCAAATATCTTTGTACTCTATTCTCTCAAGATGATTTGCTGCACTGTTGGACCACTTCTCATTCCTGTATTTTCACATATCATTCAAATCTTTAAATAAAAGTGTTAATACAAGCTCTATGAAAGTGTTGATAACACTAGATTGTCCTTATTTGAGCGTGTCCGAAATTCCACCTTTAATTTATTTTAAATTTTCATTTGTCAAATGATTTAAAACTACTCTGACCAGTCTGTATAATATCCTTCTGTAGTTTAAATGAGTGTTTCTCTAATAAGAATGTATTATGCATCTGTTTGTCAGGAACTATTTTAAACATCTCGGTTACAAAATCCTCTAAAGAAGTTATTCGTCTTTCAAGTAAATCCATTACTGATACTATTTCACTCTCTAGTGAAATTGGAACAGTAAAATCAATCTTTCTTGATTGAAGACCAGTGTTATCGATATAATCACTTAAAATATCATCAGAACCTTCTTCCATGGAGTTATCATGAAGAAAATTGTTGTTAGAGAATTTAGTCAAGTTTTGTGAGTTAAAAACTCTATCAAGCTCACTCATATCAAACGAAGAAGTTAACTTATTCTGCAAAAACATTCCTGAATCTGAGTTGTTTTCTTTTTTATCAAAATAAGTATTTCGCCCCTTTTTTGGTGTTGCCCTTTTTCTCTGGTCTGAACCATTTAGTTCTATCTTCGGAGGCTCAATAATTATGGCTGATTCATGTCCTTTAAGCTCTATGTTACTAAGCCTAGCTGCAAAATTCAGAGTACTCAGACTTTCTTCAACACATACTCTATGAGGGCTAATCATACAAAGTGCTATTAACAAAGTATCTCCATCAAAACTTGATTGTAGTATTCGAGTCAGTTTAGAATCCCTAAATCCCAAAAGTTTACCATTTAACAAATTATTTACTAGTGTTCCAAGAGCTAGTAAACTCTTATTAATGAAACTACCCTCAGATCGACGACTTTCGAACCGACTTGCTCGTTCAGATCCAGCTAAATCAATAAAGTTCAAAATTGCATCATCTTTCCGTATCTGAACTATAGAATGGCTTCTTGAACTATTTATGTTGTATTCTGTTATCCCCACCTTTCTGTTGTTGCTGCATTTCGTTAAGAAATCAATTGCACAATCCAGTGAATCCACTTTTTCTATATGTAGATTTTTTATGGTATTTCTTTTGCCAGATGTGTACATTTTAACTTCAGAATTGTTTGAAAGATCAAAAATTCTTTCATTATAAATTTCAACGCAGGATATTGTGAAGATGCTGTGCACAGTATATAATTCTGCTAATCCCATCTGAATTATTCCGTTTTCTTCGCGATTTCCAGTCATTGTATGAGTTTTCCCGCTACCTGTCTGTCCATATGCAAATATTGTAACGTTTTTATTATCTAAATATTCTTTAATAGAATTTTTAATACATTTTTCATAGAGCAATTTGTTATTTTCCTTAAAAAATATTGATTTGAAATCTCGAAATGTGACCATGGAATTCCCTTTTTCATAGGAAATTGATGTTCCTTGGTTGTTCCAGACATCTTCTGGATCATCCCTACATCTTATGTGTACATCAACTTTTTTGGACATGCATATAAATTATAATTTTTTATTAAAAGTTTCATTTTGTAACTTGTTTGAATTTGATCAATTTGGAAATTAAAAGTTACAATCAAGGAGAGTATTTCAAGTAAAAATTAAATACTATAATGTTTCTTATATTATTCAATAGAACATTAATTATTTTTAGTATTATGGATCGAGATGATATTAAAATCCAAAAATACAATTGCTCCACAGCTGTGATACTATATGCTTTTATTAAACACTCTACTGTTTGTATTGAATGCCATTTTAAAAAGTACTTCGATTAAACTTATTTTTAATTTTGCTTACTCAAAAATTCCTTTATTTTTTGTCCCTGTATGAATTCTGATGACAACATTTACATAAAGCCGTTGGGTGCTGGAAACGAAGTGGGAAGATCCTGTATTCACATAAAATATAAAAACAAAGAACTTTTACTGGATTGTGGAGTTCATCCTGCCTTCACTGGAGTCTCATCTCTTCCATTTTTGGATTTGGTGGATCTTAGCAAAATAGATGCTATCTTGGTTACTCATTTTCATTTGGATCATGCAGCAGCCTTGCCATTCCTAACTGAAAAAACCAGTTTTAATGGAAAGGTGTATATGACCCATCCTACCAAAGCCATTTTACGTTGGCTATTGAATGACTATATTCGAGTAATAAATAGTTCATCCGATGAAGATTTTTATTCTGAAGCTGATTTAACAAATTGTTACAATAAAATTATTCCAATAGATTATCATCAACAAGTTAATATAAACGGTATAAAATTTACTGCTTTTAATGCTGGACATGTGCTAGGGGCAGCTATGTTTTTACTTGAGATAGAGCAGACAAAATTGTTGTATACCGGTGATTTCTCAAGAGAAGATGATCGACATCTAAAAGCAGCCGAATCTCCAAACTGTAAACTGGATATTTTAATCACAGAGAGTACTTATGGTACTCAATGCCATCTGCCCCGTTCTGAACGAGAAGCTAGGTTTACCAAGGTAGTATCTGATGTCGTAGAAAGAGGAGGAAGATGCCTTCTTCCTGTTTTCGCATTAGGAAGAGCACAAGAACTTCTTCTTATTCTAGAGGAGCATTGGGAATCTCATCCTCACTTAAAATCAGTTCCAATTTATTATGCTTCTGCCTTGGCTAAAAAGTGTATTTCAATTTATCAGACATATGTGAATATGATGAATGAACGAATTCAAAAAATTAGTCTAACTCGAAATCCATTCGATTTTAAAAATATTGAAAACTTGAAAGATATTACTCGATTTAAAGATAGGGGGCCATGCGTTATTATGGCTAGCCCTGGTATGCTACAAAGTGGGTTGAGCAGGGAACTATTTGAAAGATGGTGCTCTAATTCAAAAAATGGGGTAGTTATCCCTGGATATTGTGTTGAAGGAACATTAGCCAAAGATATTTTAAGTGAACCGAAGGAGATTGAATCATCGAGAGGACAGTTGTTAAGATTGAACATGACAGTTGAGTATATCTCTTTTTCGGCTCATGTTGACTATACTCAAAATTCGCAATTTATTGATGAATGCGCCCCATCACATCTTTTCTTCGTTCATGGTGAAGTTAATGAAATGATGAGGCTGAAGAATACAATTGCTCAAAGAAACGAAAAGATAGGTGTGTCTATGACATTATATGCGTTGAGAAATGGTGAGGAAGCTCAGGTTCCTGTTATAAAGGAAAATCATGGAAAAATTTATACAAATAAACGTGTATTTGATGCTTTTATAGTTCAGGAGAACGATGAATATTCTGTATTTGATTTTCAGGATATTATTAATAAAAAGTCTGAAACAGATTTCCAAACGGTAAAATTAATGCAAAAACAGAAGATACCGTACAACTCCACCTTCAACTTGTTAAAGCAAATATTGGTTGAGGAGTTTGATGCAAAAAGGATATCCATTGTAAAACCTCTGGAAAGCCAAATTAATAATGAAGGAAATGTCTTTGTTGAAAATCCAGTAAATGAGGATGAGACATTAAGTATCTCACACGATCCGCAGATTAATGATGAATATATCAATACAACTGAACTGAAATCTCAGGGGGATATTAAACATGAACTTAATGACAATGAGATTCTATCAAAATTTCCCGAAAATAGTTTATGCTCAAAAAATCACCATTTGCATACAGATGTTGCCTATTGTTCTGATCTTAAGTCAGATTCCGCTCTTCAAGTCGGAGGTATTAAAATTTCTTTCCGAGAATCAGAGGTTATAATGGAATGGGAGAGTAACTATTGCGATGATGTTACTGCAATGGCCATCAACAAATCAATTCGAGACATTGGTTGTAATATTAAAAGTTTGAGAATCGCAAAAATTGATCAGTTAAATTTTATTTTTGAAAGTTTGAAGGGATACTTTGAAGATGTAACTTTAAGCAAAAATGTATTAACTGTGAACAGTTGTGCTTTTGTTGAAAATGGAGTAGTTACAGGAAGTTGCAACTCTACCGTTGAAAGGATAAAGAATATACTGAAAAGAATTGGTCATATCTTTCACAAGCACTAAATTATAAGTAAATTATTTTCAATATTAGCCGGATAAGTGAAATAAAATCATTATGTCTCCAGCCTGCATTTTTGAACTCTACCAAGGAGTAAATTATTTTTCCTTATAAACAAACCTACTCCAAATTCTTTTTTTGTTTTTTATCCCACTATGCATAAACATAATTTAGAAATATTGCCGATCTCTGAAATAATTACTGAATTAAATTCAGCATTTGGAAAAATGCCGGTGGTAACAAAACACTGTACACAGGCTCTAAATCTTTTAATATTTAATCTGAGATGCTCTCACTTTTCTGAAACGCATCTTAAGGATATTTTAGTAGTTGTTCTGAGAGGGTTTTCAAGTAACGATATGTATTTGAAGAATTACATTTTTATTACGCTTATGGAAATACAGAATTATTCAGAAGAATCTGGAATAATCAGTATCAATTCTATTTTGAAGGAAATCGATTCTAAGGTTTCAAGTAAGAATGTATGTTTAAAAAACCTAGGAATGCGTTCACTTTTTAGAAGTTTGCCAGAGCTGATGCGTATGGATTTCGAGAGATATGTAAAACAGTCTTTGCTAAATGCAGACTCTAAGGATAACAGTGTAGTTATATCTTCAGAATATTTTAAAACTATGAAGATTGAGACAAGTATGTCTGGAAATATTGAAGATTATCATTTAAGTTTCTTTAATAATTTGCCTATAAATAAGTATAGTGTTCTGTTGGAGATAAAAAAGATAATATCTGGAAATGGACATATTTCAGAGGTAGTAAAGTATTTGAAGGGAGGAGTAGATGATGTTGTATTTCTAGAAGCCTGTAAATGTCTACTTATTTTTCCACAGGAAGTTTCAGCAACATATGTCGATAGAGCTCTTGATACTTTAAGATTGTTTATGCATTCAAATGAAGTTAAACAATTTTCAGCAATAAAAATAATCAGTAAGCTATCAATTAATTTTCCAAATAAAGTAGCAAAAATAAACAAGGAAATTGAAGATGCTGTTCACTCGACAAATCAATCTGTTAGTATGCTGGCCATCTTGGTACTGCTAAAAACTGGAAATGAAGAGTCTGTTAGAAAGCTTGCCAAGAAAATTGAACCATTCTTATCTACCATGTCTAACTCTTATAAAATTATGGCTATCGATACGATGGAAAAACTTGCAAAAAGTCGAAAAGATGAATTCGTGTCATTTCTTAGAAATGCCCTGATTCAAAAAGGTGACTTAAGTTTTAAAAAATATATTCTTCAAAAGTTTGATAGGGTTCTAAATACGATGGATGATACTGGTGAGAATGCTTTGGAATCAGATGAAGAGTCTGAGCATATTCTCAAACATGATACAATTTCATTTCTCTGCAATTATATTGAGGATCCTGAATATTATCAGCTAAGCATGGACATCTTAGGAATATTTGGAAAGCATTTGAGGAACTTAAAAGACTTGGTTCATGTTTACAATAGATTGATCATTGATAATTCCCATGTTAAAAACTGCGCTATACAAACGCTTTTTGATTTAGATCACAAATTTAATACACTTGAGGCTATCCCCCAAATAGATGGAAGTATATTTAAGGAATTTTTGATGAAAAATAGAAATGTAAGGAGAGGAGAATTCAAAATGGATGAATTGGGTGAATTGAAAGAAGAGGTATTGAAGTACATTAAATATAAGGAACCTGAGATTATTAAGGAATCTGATTTTATTAAAGAGTGTAGATCTATTATTCTTACCGAAAAGAAATCCGATTTCCAAATATCATTGGTCAAGAAGATCTTTGTGGATAAAGTTATTCTTGCATTTACTATTAAAAATAGGCTTGAAAATGTAAAAATAATTTCAGGATTGCTTACAGTTGTTGGAGATGAAAGCGAGTATAAGATGGACGTGAATTCAGATGGAGTTTATGATCTAGAAGTAAATGCAAAAGAAGGAGAAACATATAACGGAGTGTTTGAATATGAAATTGGGATGGAAGAGGATCCTGAAGATACAGAAAATGATTCAATATCATTGAATCCATTTGAATTTACGATATTCGATTTTTCTAGGCCCATGGATATTTCTGAAATACCTTCTTTGACCAAAGCAGTAGAACTGTCACTCAATTCTACTGTTGAAGAGTCAATAAGTCAAATTGTTAGTATGGTTAATCTACATTTAATTGCAGACAAAAATTACTTTAGATTGAGTGGTAAATATAATGGGGAATGTATAGTACTTAAGGGAACGTTGAAATATAACAAATACACAATTGTAAAAATGGAGATTGCCTCGACAGACAAAGCTGTTTTGGAAACTGCAGCAGCAGTGTTTGAATAAAACCATTTCATACAACCATAAGTTTGAAACCAATTTGGAAAATTCTTAGGTAGTCATTGTACTATCATAAGCTTGAATGTTAAGATAGATTTTTAATATAATAATAAACCTGGGCTAATCTTTCTAATTTCAAATCCATAAAAATTTTTATTTTATACGTTTGTAATTGGCAAATTTCCAAACAATACATTGTCATCCAATACAGATCCATCAGGAATGTCAATTGTACTTCCTTCAGGGGCGCATATGATAACAATTCCTTTTAAAACAACATTTTTTCCAAATCGAACATTTCCTGTAACAGTAAGTATATCTAAATCAACAATGTCTGGAATTCCTTTGAATGAACCCTCAAAATGTTCAATTTTATCAAAATTACTTCCGATTAATTTTATAATTGGTGCAGCTTCTGATGTACGTAGGTTGTTAACAATCAACTCTCCGTGTTTTTCATTGTATAAATTTGATTCACATAAGAATAAGTCTGAGCATGTCTTAACCGGAGTAAATCGTGATCTTGGAACCAATATGCCTGCAGTCTTAGAAAAGCATTTTATTGCCGAACCAATAGCTGTTTCTAGTTGAATAATCATTTCATCATTAACAATCTTTTTGTTCTCAATGATGTCTAGTTCGATTTTATTCAGATTTTCTTTTAAAGCCTTTAAATTGATCCAAATATTATTTGTATTAAATATTTTAAATTTTCTTACACTCGTAAACTCACTTTTTTTTTGTGAAGGTACCATTGCAATTTCTAAAAGCTTCAGGTTATCTTCGTAGTTAATTAATGTACCGCCCTTAATATCAGCACGAGTTTTATTTGTAACTTCCATGCAAAAATCCAACTTCTGTGATGCAAAAGTCTCCAATATCTTTAAATCCACAGTTGAGGACAGATTATCTACGTTGCTAACAAACAAATATTCCTTCCCATCTGCAATCAACTCATCCAAAAGACCTGATCTGTTTAAACTGTAGAAAATATCACCATGACCTGGTGGATAATACATTTGATCTCCACCAATCGGCATCATATTTTCTGCTGAGATTCTTGGAAATTGACTCTGGTTAAATGTTTTTATATCTTCATAATTTCTAATCATCTTCTTGGTCCTTGCATCGGTGTTGAAGCTATTCATTAATACCAATGGTATCTTACATTTGTATTTCTTACTTAAATGAGTTAACTGACGAACTATCATATCTATAAAATTCCTACCATCTTTGATCTTTACAGCACTTTTCGGCCCGACACATCCCATAGTAGTCCCAAGCCCACCATTTAGTTTTAAAACGACTAATTTTCTCAGATTATCATCAGAATTTTCTGGTTCGGAAAGATCTTCATATTTTAGTATTTTTCCTTTCGGTGGCTCAATTTTGTTCCATTCAATACTTTTTTTTCCATCGAGAAATCTTTCATACAATTTTTTGAACTCATCTAATTCCTCAGGGTTTGGATGTGTTGCTTTTAGTTCATCCAACTCTTCCGATAAATTCCTGATCAATTTGGACTGGTAATAAGTATCAGAATTATCAAAATCTTCATCCATATGGAAATTGCAGCAAGTTATTTATAAATAAACTTCAACAAATAAGCTTTTATTTTAACCCCTAAAAAATTATTGGAAAACAAATGATGCTATACATCAATTTACTCTTGGATAAAAATGTGCTTATCAACCAAAATTTTTAATTTTTTAAAAGAACCTGTTGAAATATACTCTTGTCAAATTGATCAATAAAAAGGCAGTTTTCAATAAATTAGTCTGTAATATTTTTTGTAAATTGATAAATTTAAAACACAAGTTTCTAAAATACTTTGAAACTTTCTGCCACTAATTGTATCCTCATACTTGGATGAAATTAGTCCACGAACAATTATTTGTCATATTTGTATATTTCTTTTCTTCTGTTGCTACTACACTAGCAAACAAGCATATCATGAAGGTATGTTCATTTCAACAGCATTACTTTCTGATTATAATACAGTCGGCCATAATTGTTTTGTTGATTTTGATTTATTCACTAATTTACAACAAAATCAAATTTCGAAATATATCGAAATGGGTAATCACATCTCTCTTTCTTTCTACAATGATGATTTCCAACATGAAAGCGATCTTTTATTTTCAGATCAGTCTATATACTTTGTACAAGAATTGTTCAATCATTCTCGTGGCATTTTTAGAGTTATATTTTTTCGAAAGCCCCATAAGTGTTTTAGGATACACATCATTTGTGATGATGATTCTAAGCTCCTACACAGCAAATATTAAAGATCATATTGAGCCATTGGGATATTTATGGATGGGTTTGAACATAGTTAGTACAGCAGCATACGTGCTTTATTTGAAGTTTGTTATGATTCATAGGGCTTCTAAAACTGAATCAGTTTTTTTTACAAATATGATCAGTATACCATTTATATCAGTATGTTCTATATTGTTTGATGATTTCTCCCAAGGAATACATATTACAAAGAATGTAAACCTGTGGATTTTATTTTCTTCAATTGCCGCACTGTTTACATCTTTTTCAACTGCATGGTTGCTTAAAATACTCAATTCTACAGCACTCTGCATGCTTGGATCTATGAATAAGCTACTTCTTTCTTTTTCAGGCATTACTTGGTTTAAAGAGCCCGTAGGAATTTTGAAATTTGGAAGTTTGTTGGTTGGAATTTTAGCTGGTAGTGTATACTCGTATGAC